ATATTAATACAGTCTAATAGAACTGATACAATCTCAACCTGCCCCTAACTATACTTGAGTGTCCAGGAATGAGCATATTTTTTCTACTTGCAATGTACTTTGCAATATAACAATCACAACACTGCACTTTCCATAAGTTAATAAATTATACATTTTAATACCCACATATTTATAGTTCACACCTCAAATGCATTTGCTTTATCTTCTTAAGTGTAAGAGGCATACAAGGAAATCATTAAAAGCACAAGCTTTGGAATTAGATTAGCTTAGGTGCCAGTTCTGTTGCTCCATAAGCCAGCTACATGCCCAAGCCTGCCTCCTGGGTTTGAAACACAGGACACGTGACTAACCACAGAATTCTTGCAAGGACTGAATGAGGCAGGACATGTAAAATGCTTAGCATACTGTCTCTCTCCAAGTAAGACTTCGGTAACTCTGTGCTACTGTTACACATCATCCGTGGAAACCATGTAGAAATCAAACTAGAGGAGCAAAATATGTATATTTTTGCTTTACTTCTTAGTACTTGGCGGTGGGAGGTGGGGGAGACGGGTAGGAGGATAGTATTTAAAGTTACTAAGGAACCAGTCACCCTAAGGTGTAACTGGGTCACAGGCAGAGCAAAAGTTATGATGAAAAACCTTCACGTCAATGCATGGGAAATAGCACCTGCATATCCAGTAGATTCTCAGATTGTGTTTCCTGAGGACAGAGTGAGGAGTTAACAGCAAAGCAAATTGTGGGTGGCCCTCTGACAAGTACGGAGGGAGAACTTGAAGAGGAAAAGAGAAAGGGGAGGAGAAGCATGTGCCAAATAATTCCTGGTGCCAAATAAGCCTCAGGCACTCATGGGGAGGGCGTCTCATCACCCACTGGTTTCACCCACTCCCACTTGCTGGTCAGAGCAAGAACTGCAACTGTTCAAGTGAAGAAAGATTAGAAATAAGGGAGGAATATGTCTATGTCTGCTTTAGCCCTTCAGATTATAAATGAATCCTATTTGAACAGAAATGCATGAAAGTCCTAAAGATTAGTTATCAAAGCGGGGGGTGATAGAGGTAAGCTAACATAATTTGTAATTGGACAGGCAGAAAATGGCAACTCAAGATAACAATGACCATGCACTAAAAACATACAGCCCTTCCCCAAATGTTCAGAAATTACAACTGAATCAGTAATGTGGAGAAAGGGAAACCACACTAGTTGTTTTAACAGAGAGAATTTGCTATAAGGAACTGGTTAAACAGATGTTACAGAATGAAGGAGAAGGAGGAGGAGGAGGAGGAAAGAGAAAGAGAAAGAAGAAAGAGAGAGAGAGAGAAAGAAAGAGAGAGAGAAAGAAAGAAAGAAAGAAAGAGAAAAAAGAAAGAAAGAAAGAAAGAAAGAAAGACAAATCCATGGTAAATGGGAGGGGACTAAGAGAGGTGGGCAGTGTTGGGGGAGGGGCCATAAAAAGAATTAAGGTGCATTATGTACACAAAGCGAGCCCCCATAATGAATGTAATCATTGTACCACAAAGATGTACTAATAAAACTTTTTAAAATTATAGAGAATACTGGTATTGGAATAGAAGGCAACTACTAGAAGCAATCGCCAACCTCAAGGCGGAAGAAAGGAAGAGGATGGGGGATTATATCCAGGAAGAGGAGCTTCAGGAAACCTCAGCTCAGGATCCTGAGATGTGCTAGTTTTCCCAGGGATGGAGTGAGGCAGACCCCGGTGCACAGGAAGAAGCTAGAAACAAAAACCAAAAGTGGCCGGAGCTGGCTGCTCAGGCTGAGTAGAGGCACGCGTGGCACAGCTAGGAGGGCAGCGAGTGCCCACCAGGGACCCTCGCCTTTCCCCAGCAGCTGGCCCTTCGCAGCGTCTCTGCCTTTAGGAGCTGCAGGCGCCCGATGACCAAAGAGATGGGTGGTCTAAGCTGGACTCCACAGCGCGGGATCTGGACCCAGGCTCCCGCCTAGGCTTGCGGGACTTCAGAAGCGTCGCTGGACTTCGGTTTCCCCGTGCTTCTCGGTGAAATCGGCGAGCCCCTACCGGCGGGTGGTGTAGGCTGATCGACCTCAGTCCCGTCCTGGTGGGGTCGGGTAACGCCCGTCCTTTTCATGCTCCTTCTGCTATTAAACCAGGGTTTTAAAGGTCCGAGGAGCCGGAAAGCCGAGGTCACCCCGCAAGCTGCTCCCGGCTCGCCTCCCCGGAGCGCGCTCACCCGCGCAGTGACCTGGTTGGCTGAACCGAGTGGAAAGGGGCGGGGCGCTGGCTGGCGTTTGCACCCCTCTGGGGAAGCCGGGGCACTCGCGGGGGTCCCGGATCACCGCTCCGGGTTTCGGGGACCCTGGGCGCGCGGCCGCTGCAAGGAGCCACAGGCGCGCTCTGCCCGGATGTGACCGCGCTGCGCCCCCATGCGGCCCCCGGAGACCCCGGCCCCCGGCCGCCCGGCCCTGCAGCTGCTGCCGCCGCTTCTGCTGCTGCTCGCCGCGGCGCCCTCTGGCCAAGCAGGTACGTGGGTGGCTCAGGACTTGAGCCCCTAGGTTTCGCTTTCTGGTTCCGGGTCACCCTGGTTTCGCACCTTTCCTGACAAAATTGAGCTGGGGTAGAGGATTTGGAGGGACCGTCACCTTGCAGGGCGCCCTCAGCGGTGCGTCCCCGGCTCCTGCCACCGCCGCGGCGGGCTCCGTGCTGTCTCACTCGGTCCTGAAAGGGGAGGCAATGTGACCCCGCGTTCCAAAGTTGAACCCCCCCCCCCAAAGAGTCTGCTCTGAGGGGACAAGATCTACAGGTGGCTGCGCTTCTCAAATAACGTTTTCGCACCCCTTCCTGGGTGGGTTAGGTTGTGTAAAGCTACAAATTCCCGTGATGGGGAAATGCTCAACATGGCATTAACTTTTTAGGAAAGTCTTGATACTTTATTTCAGGTAAACTTTTTTCTCTGTTGCTCCCTCAAGGTGGGTGGGACACTCTGGAAGCTTTCCACTCTGGAAGCTCTCAGGGAACAGAAGTTTCACCTGGAAATGTGTTCTGTGGGCCGTTCCTATATCTTATTTCTCAGAGAAAATAAAGAACTGGGGTCAAATTATATAAACAGATGAAATGAGTGTTTGACTTTCCTGCTCTTGTGTCTTAGCTTAAAATTCTTCAAATCATTCTCAGTTCTCCTGCAAGGTCCAGTGTGGCCATCTCCAGCCTTAACTTAATTCTTTAATTCCTTAATTACTGCTGTTCTTACTTTTGTTTCGGAACCTAAAGCAAGGCAGACTGTTTCCTGTCTCAGGGATTCATGCTTGTGGCTCCCTTTGATGGAATGTTCCTTCCTTTTGTCTGTTCTGGCTAACTGTCTACTCGGATTTGGTATCTCACCCTTTAAATTCCTAGAGGGAAAAATGCAATTCATTATGTCTGTGAACAAATAAACCTAACTTTAGTTATGAGTCTTTCAAATACAATCTGAGTATTACTTTTTAAAAAGCACTGCTTGTTCGAGTTAATGCACTGTAACGAACACAGTATGGGTGTTTGTTGAAATGTCTCTTCTTTAATTACATTTCAAGGAGAAGTTACTCCAGAACTAAACACACACACACACACACACACACACACACACACACACACACGATTCTAGTGAACTAGACATCTTTCATAACTGTTGTACAATATTTAGAACCAGGAAAATACTATTAGCATAATTCTACTCACTAAACTGAAGACTTTGCTTGAATTTAACCCATTTCCCACTTGTTCTATTCGAGAATCCTACGTCTCACTTTATGTTGAGCTGTTGTGTGCCCTTCCTTTCCTCAAACTGGTGACAGTTCACAGCCTTGCTTTGCTTTCATGACCTTCACACTTTTGAAAGTGCTGGTCACTGTCTGATGCTTCCTCACAATTATATGAGCTATTTGTTTTGGGCAGTGATTCATGGAAATTAAGTTGCCTTTCTCAGTGCATTTCAAAGGACTTAGGATACCAGTGGACCTTCTTTCTGGTGAGGTTAACCTTGATCACCGGGTGATGTCAAGTGGCATCATCAGGGTTTGATTGTAAAGTCAGTCTGGTTTTTCACTGTGTCTTGTGAGAGATAATTGAAGATTATGCAAGTATTCTGTTTCTGCATTCTAATTTACACCCAATGTTAGTGTCTATCAATGGATTTTGATGGCAACAGCTAATACGTCACAAACTGACTTTTTATTGCACTCTTTTTTTTTTTTTTTTTTTTGGTTTGGGGCACTGAACTCATGACCTCACACTTGCCAGGCAGGCACTTATGCCACTGAGCTAAATCCTTAGCCCTTATTGCACTTTTCTCTTCTACAAAGATTAACTGAAATTCTATTACAAAGAAGAGCTCAATATGTACTCATTTATTTTATTTGAGTTATAACTGAATAATTATTCAGTCTGCTCCAGTCTGTTACAACTCTGGCTAGCTGGCTCCTTCAGCTGGGCCCCCATATCCTTTTAAGAAGCCCCATCCTTTCTGAGCATTTAATTACTGCCTGTCACCACAGTTGGTCCAGACACATCTTTTGTTTTCTCTGCTACAAGCCTGGATTTAACCCTTCCCCATCCCAAGCTCTGAATCCTTCTCTTAGAGAATGGTGTTTAGAAACCAAGATCTGGATTCTTAGCATGCTCATTTCTACTGGGGTGTCATGTCTAGGCTCTCTCAGTGGACAGAGCCTGAACTTATAACTACATATTTGAAACCAGTTGTATATGTATATGCATACTAAAGATCATGAATTCATATTGACCCTTCAAACTTTGATCCAAAGTTCAAGGTTCATTTTTCTTTATTTATAGTTTCTTTCTCCAACAGTGAGAAACCTAGATATTGTTATCTACAAGAGATTTACTTGTTTGTTCAATTCTGGTGCAAAGTAGTTTCAGAACTAGTAACCCATGCTCCTGTGAAAAAACGTATTTACCAACTACATTACAGCATATTGAATGCAGTTCTTTAGTCTTTCAATTTGTATTATCCAATCAAAATACTGTTGACCAAACTTACTTAAGTTTGTATTTTTTCCCACACTTTCCCCCCTCCCACTTTTAGTGTGGTTATATTATCCAATTATAACAGTTTAGATTTATTTCTTACTGTTTGGGTTTCATCTTGGGTTCCCCCACATACTAGTTGATTTCAATTATTTATAGAGTTTCTTACAACCAAGATTGTAAGAGTCAGCATATATACTGTAGATCACTCAGAGAAGTGTTGCTCCTCCTCCATCCAATTCATGCAACCTCCTGAAGGTAACTGATAGCCTTCCTTTCTAGCTTACCATTCCTCCACTTCTTCTGCACCAATGAGAAGATGCGTATTTTTACTATCCTCCATCTGACCTGAAGTGTGGCATACTTACTGTTTTGTAGCTTCCTTTTTAAAAAGCTTAACAGTATTTAAATTATTTTCAAAGTAATACTTTTCTGCTTCATAAATCACTATTCTTAAAAGAGAGGTCCTTGACTGCACCTGCTAAATTAATTTCAGAGCTAAACTATTTCCACATTTTGCTTCAATTCAGCATGAGGACACCTTGTCTTCATCATGCTGTAAAGAGCTAGGTCTAACTCTGAGTTCTCTACTACATCTATTACAGCATTTACTCACTCACATGTTCTTTTTATCAAAAATGTCTCTTTTTCCAACCTTTTCCAGTTGCCCTTTGAGTAGACCTGCGGTGATTTCTTATAGACAGGTAGGTGTATTTGGATGGTCTCTCCATCTGTGGTGCTCATTTCCAGCTCATGCCCAGCACATCTGGAAGGCATCATATCTCCAAGATCCAAGCATGTGCCTGTCAGTACCACCAGCCTCCCCCTTGAGAGCTTGGGTCTCAGTGCTGTACATGCTCAGCTTCCCACAGTGCAGACTCGCAAGAGGCAGTGTTTGCTACTAGGGAGACAAACAGGAAAACTGGTTACCTAGGGGAGTGAGGTGGAGTAGGCACAGGGTAGCGTCCCTCCTCTGAGTACATGCTTTGGTATCGTTCTGACTCTTACAGTTATAGGGGTTCATGTATTTTCCATTTACTTGTAACTTTGGAAAAAAATCAACAGGCAAATGGAATTCTGAGTGCTACAAAATTACTGTTTTAGTATAAATATGTCACCAAAAGCATTGACTTTTTATAATGTTTTAAATAAAATTACATATGTCTGTGCTGCTTTCTTTAGTCCTTAGGTTAATACTTTCCACAGAATAAGTACTCAGTAAATTTTTATGGTCGAAAGGCCCTTTTCCTTGTGTACATGATTTTTTAAAATGACTTTCTATTTGCAAGATTTCCTTCAAAGTTCAACTTTACCAACCATCATTGACATGCTTGCTTTTATAATAATTTTTTAAAAATTTTTTCTGAGGCTTAAGATAAGTTATATTTTATAAAGTAAAATCATTTCATTTATCTGAATCATAACAATTCTTTTGCTGTCATTGTGATGTTCTGGCAGCAGTTTACTTCTTCTTGGTCCACATGTAGAACCTCATTACGTCTAAAACTGGAGAGCAATAGTCAGGGGGGTAGCTCAGCACAAGGTCTTGAGTTTGATTCCCAGCACCAAAAATACATACATACATAAATATAAAACAAGAGAACAAAATAATACAGGTTGGAGGTACTATATAAATACTTCCGCTGCTTTGTTTTTGCCAAATTGTCTTTAGTTTAGAAACCCAGATGGGACTTTAGAGAACATCCCAACCTGCTGTCTTCCTTCAAATCCCCTGCAGCAGCACTTCCCAGGCTGCCACACCAAAGTACCATGAGCTGATTGGCTTTATTGTGTTCTGGAAACTAAAAATCCAGAACCTAAGTATCATCAACTTTGATCTGTTCTTCTAAGAGTAATTAATTGTTAACTTTATTTTTTTGAGATGTGGTGTCACTCTATTACAGACTGGCCTTGGGCTTGATACATAGCCCTGACTGACCTTGCACTCACTGTGATCCTCCTGCCTCAGCTTCCAGTGTCCTGGTATTATAGGTGTGCACTACCACACCCAGCTCTGGTTCCTTCTGGGAACTGTCTGTCCCAGACCACTCTCCTCTCTTCTGGTTGCTGATGGCCTTTGGCATTCCTGGGCTTGTCACCTGTCCTCTGATCTCTGCCTTCACCTTCACATGGCCTCTCCCAGAGTCTCTCACATGTCTTCTAGAAGAATGTATCTGTCTACCTATGTCCAAATCTCTCCCTCTTATAAAGACACCAGTGATACTAGCTTCCAGCTCATCCCGTTTTACTCATTTTAATTTGTCCGTCTCTATAAAGATCCTATTTTCAATTAATAACACAGTTTGAAATTAGGGTTTCAATGCATTTACTTCGGGAAATACAGCTCAACTCAGATACCTGCCATGCCCTCTGAGATTTGTAAGTTTGTGAGCAGGAGATGTGGCCTTGGTTTCTAAAATAGAAAAAGGCTGGCTTTTCATCCAGCTTTTCGCTGTGATAATGCCTCCCCTTCACTGTGTTTAGCAGTCTGTGTCCCCCGC